GGAAAACCGTTCCTGCTGTACGTAAGAGCCATGGAACATTCGCTTTGGAGCCCTCTGTTGGCCAGCAATAACGATCAGGGTCAAGAGCCAAGCCATCTAACCTAAGCCCAGGACTATGATGCGCGAGCCGAACACAATACAAACCATTTGAAAAAATGAATGTCTCGCTTTGCGTATTCCGCGAGATTCAAAAGATGCGACACCGTACATAGCTGGGACAAACAATTCACGTCATCTCTAAAGTAATTCCTTGAGAGTTTCTGATGACGACAACCCATCTCTAAAATTGCCGGCCTCGCAAATGGCCATTCTCTTGTCACAATATGATATGCAGTTTATGCCCCAAAGCCGCAGTCAAGGCAAGCGTTTGGCAGCATTTGCTTAGCTGATCACCCGGGTGCCAGGGACATCTAAGTTGTATGAAGAGTGCCTTTGATGAAGCTCGCTGGAAAACTTTGCGTACTCAAACCACGCATAGTTGTTGCGAAATTATATTTTTTCTTTTCGACGGCGTTGGGCCAGTGTAGAGCAAACCCTGCACGGAGCAATTCCACTGCCAGGGAGGCTGCGGGGTCTTTACTTCGTCTCCGGAAACAGCCCACGTTAAGTCCAAGGGTCTCCCCTTAATCGAACCAAGTCCGAGGGGAATACGAAGTGCGGCATGAGGATCTTATCCCGTATCATATCGCAGTGCTAAAGCAAGCTGAGAAGTTTAAAGGTTTCTTTATCAGATACATTCCACGAGCTCAGAATGCTTACGCAGATGCTTTAGCCTCACTGGCAACTTCATTAGTGCTACCTCCAGGAGCTGAAACTACAATCTCGGTTACAGGACGCGAGTTATACTGCTTCAAGATTCCTATGGAGGAAAGCTCCGATGAGACAATGACAGGGGAAGTCTGTACAACCTCGATGGAGTTTGAAGCTAGAGATTGGCGATTCCCGTATATCGACTATGCCATATACGGAATATTGCCTGATGACCCTAAGGAAGCGGCCACTATCAAACGAAAGGCCCTCCAGTTCTATTATGATGCGGTTTCTCGAACCCTATATCGTAAATCACACGACGGAGTTTTGCTTCGATGTCTTTCTCGAAAGGAAGCGAAGGAGGCCCTTAAGGAAGCTCACGACGGAATGTGCGGGGCTCATCAGCCCGGAGCTAAATTAGGAGATCGTCTTCGACGAATTGGCTATTATTGGCCAAAGATGTTTTCTGACGCAGTCGACTATGCTAAACGCTGTCACGCATGCCAAATTCATGGAGATTTTATCCATCAAGCGCCAGGTAATTTACATCCTACATCTGCAACCTGGCCATTTGAGATGTGGGGCATGGATATTGTGGGACCAATTTCTCCTCCGACTTCCAAAGGACACCGGTTCATTCTGGCCGTGACCGACTATTTCTCCAAATGGGCAGAAGCAATCCCGTTGAAAGAAGTCAAGACTTCGAATGTGATCAAGTTCATTAAACATCATGTTGTCTATCGCTTTGGAGTCCCGAGACGAATAATTCACGACAACGGAACACAATTCGTTAGCTTTGGATTTCAGAGATTCTGTGATAAATTGCGCATCCAAAGCGTCGCATCTACGGCATACTATCCGCCAGCAAATGGTCTTGCGGAAGCTTTCAACAAAACCATAGTAAAGCTTCTCAAAAAGTTTGTTTCCAAAAGCCGACGTGATTGGGACGAAAGACTTGGCGAGTGTTTGTGGGCCTACCGAACAACAGTGAGGACCTCTACCAGAGCTACGCCATTCTCCTTAGTATACGGCTGTGAAGCTGTATTACCACTTGAGATCCAGATCCCTTCTCTGAGAGTTGCTATTACAATGGGACTAACAGAAGAAGAAAAACATCAACGACGTCTGCAAGAACTTGAAGCCTTAGACGACAAGCGACTTCAAGCTCAACAACAAATAGAGTTGTATCAAGCCCGTATTTCTAAAGCCTACAACAAAAAGGTTAAGGAACGGATTTTCAAGAAAGGCGATTTGGTTCTGGCCAACAGACGACCCATGGTGATGACACACAAAACCAAGGGGAAGTTCAATCCCAAATGGGAAGGGCCCTTCGTAATAGAATCAGTCTATTCGAACGGAGCATACCGCCTCATCAATCAAGAAGGAGACAGGCTCATGATGCCAATTAATGGGAAGTTTCTCAAGAGATACTTCCCGTAAATCATGTAGCCCCCTAAACCCCAACCAAATCAGGCTGGGGGTTGCCTATTCATAGTGTAATTCTATCTTGTATTTCGTCATGTTAACACTACACCTCTGACGATTGTAATTTGATGGAATTATTCTGAATAAATGATAAAGGGAATTTCGATAACATTTGCATTATTTTCTATTGTCTTGAACCAGATTTCAATAAAAAGAGACGATAAAGAGCAAAAGTGATATCATTTTCATTCGATGTGGTTAATCCAAACACAAAATGAAAAAGATACAAAATTCCTTAATCAAAAACAGGTCAAGAGCTAAACATCAGGCTTCATTAACTTGAGGGTTTTTAGCCTAGACTTGAAGGCAGAGAGTTTCTCCCGGTGAGCCGCTCGAACTTGTTCCTCGATCTCCTTTCTGAGTTCTGCTTCAATAGGAAGAGTAGCAACAATGTCCTTACGAGTCTGCTCAGCTGCGTGGAGTGTACGGCAAAATTTCGTATAAATTTGGCCACTTTTATGCTCAAGCTCTTTTCTGACATCCTCATAGTGGGCCAATTGAGCTTTCTTCTGGTCCAACTCGGCCTCTAATCGAGCGATAGTCTCTTCAATATCACGAATATCAGAAGCAACACGTTTGATTTTAGCATATGCTTTAGAGTGTCGCTTCCTTAAAGTTGATATACGGGCTATTTTATCAGATAGTTCCTTGCGAAGATTCCCTGGGTGATGCGCTCTCGAGATTATCGCCAAGGAAAGAGCCGGCTCCACTTCAGAATCTAAATTGGCGCGCTGTAACTCCCTGAAAGCTGTCAATTCTGCCATCAAAAGAGTGATCCCACCCTGGCAGTGCTCAGTCCAGGATGCATCCCCTTTGGCCTTGATGTCGTCCAAACATTGGCTCAAGATGGATTTACAGTCTTCAAGAGAAGCCCCCTCAACACTGATCATACCAATAATTGTTTGCATCCAACGTTCCAGTTCATCAATTGATTTCTTCAGAGCTCCTGAGCGTGGAGGAGGAAGAGTTGGATAGATTGGATCCGTATGATCATCCTGAACACGTGTTGGAGCAACTTCAGAAGAAGGACCCTCTTCAGCCCCATCGTCTTCAGGAACTGAGGGGATCGATTGAGGCATTTCGTCCTCTCCGTCAGTAGAACGCTCAACGAGCGCAGACTTCATCGCATCCCCCATTATTTTGGCCCTCTTGGAATTCTTGGCCATGACAGGTATCCGCTTACGGATTCTCCTGTCATACTCACCTTGCTCAGCAGCAGAAAGAGCTTCCTTACCCGATCTTAAAGAACGAGGTGTAGGAACGGGCTCTTCTGCAGGGATCTCCTCAGTGGTCTTTTCTTCAGGAGAATCATCAATTGGCTTTCCCTCTTCAATTCCCGTAGGAACCTCTTCTTCAGAAGGTTCTACGGTGGACAAGTCTTTAGGAGCTTCAACGGCTCCGGTCGCTTCCTGTTCACAAGATAGGTATTCTTCCATCCCTGGTAGACGAGTACTCGCAGAACCGCTCCGTGAACGATACAATTCCCGAATCTCGTTTATACATGAAGTATAAACGTCATACTCCGGAATCTGAGAAGCTTCGGCAAACCACTGGCGGAAATCCATAACAGCAGAGCAGCCGGGTGATGAATGGGGTAAAGTGAATTGCGCATGGGTTCCCCCGGCAGAGAAAAAGTACCATGCGCGAGCTCCTTCGCATAAATTCCCAATCTGAGCTAACGCCGGGTTAGGATTGCCAACATAGAGTTGGTCATATCCAAACTGTCTCGCGAACCGAGAAGGCATGTAAGGCTCGATTACGCACTTCTCCCGTGAGCGATAGACCAGGTAGCCCAACCTGATCATAAGAAGCCAGCTGAAGGTACCCTCTTCCAAAGAAGACGAGCCTTCAAAAAGCAAATCCATGAAACGAGCATCCTTAACATCAGCCCCGTCAAAGTTAGGAGCACAGCAGAAAACCTGGTAATTATCCTCTCGGGATAGAAGACTAGTGTGTTTTGGACGTGACACACATCCAGCCCGTCTTCTATTATGCAAGCATGTTGATCATCAAGGCTACAGTGGTATAGATGTATGCCACATCATCAACACACCAGGCAAAAACGTGGGGGTGACACACCTAAGCCCGTTTATCTCTCTCTCTTTATGACTAGTGTGTTTTGGACGTGACACACATCCAGCCCGTCTTCTATTATGCAAGCATGTTGATCATCAAGGCTACAGTGGTATAGATGTATGCCACATCATCAACACACCAGGCAAAAACGTGGGGGTGACACACCTAAGCCCGTTTATCTCTCTCTCTTTATATGTATTTATGTATATGTGTGTATCTGTTTGTATAGGAGAAAGAAGGGAGTGAGGAAGATTTCCTCCATAGGACCTCGAAAAATCCATTCTTTCCACTATTCTTTCTGTCACCTGACATCCATGTCCTAAAACATATGAGTATCTATCTATCTATCTACATGCACGCACGTATGTATGCAGGTATACATGTAATCTTTTCTATGAATATATACATAGCCATATAAACTTATGAGAAACCTTGATATTGTGTTCCTAACATATCATCTAATACATTAGTGACTAGTCCCTCCCTCCCTCCCCATACAAGCACACACATATGTACGCAGGTATACATTTATTCTCTCTCTATGAAGATATACATAGTCATGTAAAATTATGAGGAAGCTTGATACTATTTTCCTAATATATCATCTGGCACATTAGTGACTAACTTCTCATGACTTGGTGACTTGGTCTAATTTTAATGCTTTTTTTTTACATCCATGGGTTGAAAAGGATCAAGAGGAACTAATGAGAGAAGTTCAAGAGGCTCGAAGAATCAAAATGCTGCATCAGCCAAGCAGGGTAATTTTTTTGCCAGATTGTGCTTGTCTGGACTTTCAGATAGATTATGAACAGAATCTTTCCTTACTGATATTTTCAGAAGCATTTTGCTTTTGAATGTTTAGTAGTCTTTGTATGCTACTTCCTTTTCCTGCTGGTTGAAATATTAAAACATTTTGTAGAAAAACATATTGTAGGTAATGGACATGGAACATGAACTTCAAGCATTACGTCTTCAGCTGGTAGAAAAAACTTGTTATTCAATCAAGCTTTGCAAAGAGGTTATGTTTTTGCCAAAAACTCTGTTGCTCAATTTAGTTATTATAGGCAATTGACAATTCTTCTCTTCTTTCTCCTTATATATTTTTCCTTAAATTTTTTTTTTCAGTTGGAAATGAACAAAAGACAACGCGAGAACAAATCTCAATTATATGAGTTAGAGGGAATCGAAAGTTTAGGATCATGTTTACGTGTCAGTTCTCAAGTGGATAGTTCTACTGAAATCTCAAGTTGTTTCATTCAATGGTATCGTGTACAACCTGAAGGAAGCAAGAAAGAATTAATTCAAGGTAGCCTGGTTTGACAGTTCTCTTTTATTTTAAACCTCTGCCATACTATTAGTGTGTTTCTGAACTCAGGAATTTACCTTTATAGTTTACCTCCTCATCTAGCTAGTTTAAAGTAATGCTCTTATGCCAAGGACAATTCCCTTTGAATATTATGTGCACATGAAAACTTGACAGGGGTTACAGTTCAAAGATGTCTACTAACAAATGAAGGTTCTAATTAAACCTATACCCTGCAGGAATCGACACATTATTGGGCTGGATATTATTGGGCTGATTGAATCCAAGAGGACACAAATGCATCTGGTTTTGGACGCACCCTCAATTCAAATCAGATACATCAAGTTGTTTTGTAACACATGTCATAATCCCCAAGGCACAAATCGGTACATTATAATTAAATTTGTCTCAACAGTCAAACTTTAAGTTAGTTCCCTACATATGTTCTGTAATAAGTATGCAAATTCCCATATATTATATAAGCTTCATCTATACTCTTCAAAGTACAATAGCTTATTTGGTTTTCTCCGAAAGCTCTATAGGAAAAAATTTAGAGATTCATTTCATTATGAGGATTAGCATAGTTGGTGCAACATAATGACAAGAATGCTGGCATCGTAAATCATTCTGAGAAAATTGTAAGAGGCAGTTCTCTTCCCTGGATAGGATGCTCAATTAGTTCCTACAAAAATAATGCTCAATAAAACCTTTCAGATATGAGAAATCATGGTAGTTCTTTGCTTGTTGGGGAATCCCTTCTGTTTTGATACAATTCAATTAGATTAAGCTTTTCCAACGTGGATTTCATGCTACTACATTGTGTTAAATTTATTCTTAATGTAACTTTATATGCTCACATCTTCATGTAGATGGATAGTATCTTCTATATTTTTGAGATGTAAAAATGCTTTCTTCATAAATTTTACTAAATTGACTTTTATACTAAAATAAATTCTGGTTGGAACTATGTATTCAGCTCTAACCTGTTGTGAACCTTCTGCTAATTTGTACAGGGGCAACAAAATCAGTATATGCTCCAGAGCCCTTTGATGTTGGGCAATTCCTGCAAGTAGATATTGAATTTAGTGATCAAAGGGAAACATTAACAACCATTGGTCCAATTGATCCTGGTTTGTTTATTTATTTATTTGATTTATTTATTTGTTTATTTACTTCTTTATCATCTGTGAGAAATATGACTTCAATTATCACGTAATTGAAACAATTGTCTTTAGCTCTATTCTTTATATCCTACATACGGAAACAATCAGCTGTTATGCTCATGTCACTTGCTTTGTCAATCCTTCAATACCTTTATTAATCAGTGCTCTTTCTTGGTTCAGTGAACCAAAGGTTCGAGAGTATTGCATAAATTCCATTCATGCGTCTAAAATATGTCCTGATTTGCCATAACTCAAACTTTCTACTCTACATGTTAACACTTTTTATGAGGTCTTTATAAATTGGGGGTGGATGTTATGTAAAACCCCCCAAGTTCAGGAGGCTTTTGTGAAATTTATCCTTACAACAATTAGATGCTAGGCTCATAGTACTTGCTTTGCAATCCTACAATACCTTAATGCTCGAACTTGATTCAGTGTACACATACATACACACATATAGATGCACATAAACACACACACGCACACTTAAATATCTAAAAATATAAATTTATCATCTTTATTCGTACCTTGGTTAGAGAGGATTGCAAAATGTGACTGTTGTTGTTGTCCATTTAAAGCAATATATCTTTTGCTTCTTATGAGTTCTAGCTAAAGTTATTTGCTTTGGTTATGAAACAGCTGCCGGATTAGGAAGCTTTGTTGAGGCACTTGTACGGAAACCTGAAACCGAGTTCAATGTATGTTCAATGTATGCGCTATATATTTATCCATATAGTCATCTTCCAAGAAACTTGAGGACTTTGGCTTGTCGTCCAAATATTTAAGTTTATTTATTGATTATTATCATTGCTTGGGATGCATGTAGATTTGCAATTCATCTGTTTAAAATGTATAGCTGTATTTGTTTTCATTTTGACTTTTTCGATATGAGTCCCTTAAATCTTTCATATTTTGAAATTGATCTCTCAAGTTATTGAAATTGCTATTAGGTCCCCAAATTCTTAAGTTATTTTGAGATTTGTCCCTCAAATCATTGAAATTGCTATTAGATCCCCAAATTTTTAAGCTAGTTAGAAATTAGTTCCTCCAATCAAGAGCAGAAGTCGCAAATAGGGGACTAATTTGAAACAACTTATGAGAATTAGGGGTCCTTTTAGCAATTTCAATGGTTTGAGTGACTAATTTCAAAATATGAAAGATTTAAGGGACTAATATCGAAAAAACCATTTTAGATCAGGTTTTTCTTTTCTTATTTTTTTCCTTGGACTAGAAGTTTGAATTTGAGCCTTGATAGGATCTCAATGTGCATGCTTCTTGTTTTGTAGGTAGTTGTTCTCCAGATGAATGGGAGTGATTATCCCTCAAACTCAATCCATGTATTTCATGTTGGTAAATTGAGGTTAAAACTTTCTAAAGGAAGGACCGCAAAAGCTAAGGAATTCTATTCCTCTTCCATGCAGGTAATAAAACTGCCTAAAATGTTTTTTCCGTGTAAATTTGTGAATTATGAACTATGTAATTGAATAGCAGAGGGTAGTGTATGAAATCATTTTTTTTATTTCTTGGGTCACTAAAATGAGACTTGAATCCTGAGAACTGCATCTTGACTTTCTTATTTCGAATGTATTTAGAATGATTAACATGGACATCTTCACCTATTTTTATGTAAATAAGATTCGTTGCTAGCATTATTATTTATTAAAAGTTGTCATTTAGCACATCCCTAGGACCCTAAACTCAAGATATCCAATAGGCAAAATTATGTGTGCTAGGTTTGGCCTATGGAGGAAGGAGTTTTGCTTGGAATTGAGCCATATTTTTGAAATTAAATACAATCATTCATTTTCTCTAGTCTTCCCATAGGCAATACCTATTTGAATTAGACCATAAATGTTGATATGGGTGGAGCCTATTTCAAATAGGTTAGGATGATTTGTTGGAGTAACTCAATTTCAAATGCAAGAAAGAATTTAACTTGAATCAATAAAAAAAGCAAATTTAAGTAAATTTGACATGATTTAGTGTACACTAAAAGATAAAGATCAACATACAAATATCCCAAGAAAATTAGAATAAATATAAGGTAAAAGTTAAGAGAGATTATTTCTTGGTTTTGTTCGTTCAGTAGCATGCAGAGTGTTCTATGAGATCCTTAGGCTTTGTTTGGCAACTATAAAATAAGCTAGGCTACATTGAGATGGGTTTAAAGGAGGCGGACAGGGGCACCAACCCCCTCCCCCCTACCCCAAAAAAAGGAATTTTTTTTAGTTTATATATATATATATATATA